TACACAGTAAGTGGACAGTTGACAGATTTACTGGACTCTCCATGGAAAGTGTATACGGACATTCCATCTGGGGAACCCGTTTTTGCAGAGCTATGGGTACACCTGTTCTTTGGATAAGTCACTGTCAATTCTATAGAAATCTTGGGAAATCACGGCATTTCCCCCTTCCATGGTATCCCAGCAGTGTATAAACCTGACTTTTCCTGTAGGGCGACGGGATACTTCTCCCCCGATACCATGAAGGTATGGCGTGAGTCCTTGTTCTCATAGCCAAAATCTATATAAAAATAGTCCCCGACAAGAGATAGAAGGGGAGGGGAGAGGAAGAGGTGAACGGAGAAAAATGTATAGCTCTATAAAAACAACTTTAAAAACTAGTCCCCCACACATTTTCTTTATTGACAGTCCTCTCTGATAAGAAAGGAGCCTCCTACGGGAGGTAACATGTCTGCTCTAACAGCAGACCCAGGAAGGTGTGATCTACTGGTCTGCTCTGACTTAACAGGCTACTAATTTCTATATTACCCTTTACCTTGATTTCAACTACCATAGGATCATAGCCCAGGAAATAAACTGTTTATACAGGAGAAAGGTCTGGATCGCTAAAACCAGCTTTAGAGAGAAAAACCCTCACCTGGGCACCCTGCTGGAGTCAAAAGCAAAATCCCCTGGAAAAGATTCCTTTTAACTCAGCCCACTAGATGCTAATGAAATCAAGCCCACAGGTTAGTATAGTTACCAACACTGTGTTCCCAGCCTCAGGGGAAATTCGCAGCCACACCCGCTGTGAGAAGTAAGGTGTCTCCTTGCCAGGTGCACCGGTTTCCTGTGACTCTGTAAAAATGCTTGCTTGAGGCTGGGCGGTGGTGGCGCACGCCTTTAAACCCAGCACTCGGGAGGCAGAGGCAGGCAGATCTCTGTGAGTTAGAGACCAGCCTTGTCTACAGAGCTAGTCCCAGGACAGGCTCCAAAGCCACAAACAAAACAAAAATGCATGCTTGATACTATTGTCACCGCCTACGGGGATTGTTAACTTATCTGCATGCCTTTATAAACTGGAAAGTTTGTGGAGATCACCCCCCTTTTACCCTTATATGCCTTATGCCCTTATGTTTCTTTTTCTCCCTTCTTTCGTCTTCCCCCAAGGAATAAACATGCAGGAAAAATGTGTCTGAGGCAGTCAGTTCTACCCCTCAGATCCCATTCATGAGCCAGCTTTCACTTGTAGTAGAAGTCTTTTTCTGGGCCCCGAAGGAGTGCTGCAGCTGGTACACGGCAGCTCTCGATAAGAAATGATACTGGTTTAGGAAAATGGTGGTAGTGGGTTCTCCTCCAGAGTCCATGCCACAGTTGTTTGACTGCTGTACCAGAGGAGAGTTCCCGCCCATTGAGTAGTCCTTTAGTGTAATCAGAAAGCTGGTGTTTAGCCGGGCGATTAATCCCAGCGCTAGGGAGGCAGAGGCAGGCGGATCTCTGTGAGTTCGAGACCAGCCTGGTCTACAGAGCTAGTCCCAGGACAGGCTCCAAAAAAAAAAAAAAAAAAAAAGCTGGTGTTTAGCCTGCTGCTAACAGTGCCACTGTCACACCACTGGGGGCGTTTTGCTCTGCCGGTTGCTGCTGGGGTCTGTAGGCTTTACTGACGGGCAGGACGACTGGTTACTTTCCTCCTCTGACATCTTGCCTGGCACCTTCCAGGACTACGAGAGGACTCTATGGTCCTCATAGAGGCTTCGAGGTCAGTTCCTGCTGATTCCTCCAAGTCCGATGCCCAAAGTGTGTACTATCTTCAGCAACAGGATCACACCTTCAAGTTCTGGGAGGCCACCAAGGGCAACTTCAATGACTGGCCTATATTGCCTTGGGAGTCAAGAGAGATCTTTCTTGGCTCACATCTTTCACCCCAGCACCCAGGAGGCAGAGGGAGGTGGATCTCTGTCAGTTCAAGGCCGGCCTGGTCTATATAAGTGAGTTCCAAGACACTCAGAGCTACATAGTAGTGAGACTCTGTATCAAGAGAGAGAGTGGGGGCAGGGGGACGAGAAAAAAATCATTCCTATGAAGCATTTCAACACTGTGCCTGGCACCCAGATGTTTGTGATATAACAGATTAAAGATATTTTATACTAGCTTGCCCAAGACTACCCTGTGAAGACTACCGCGCGCGTGTGTGTGTGTGTGTGTGTGTGTGTGTGTGTAAACAGGATTTCAGGAGAGATAGTTCAGTGGTGTTGAAATGAAGGCATTTTTAGGAGGACACTAAGTTCCCTTTCAGCTGGAGGTGATTCCACGCACCATTGTCTCCTAGATAAGATTGGTCACATGTCCCCACATCAAGAGCAGTGGACATGAAAGTTCTTTTTTTAATTAAAAAAAAAACTCTTATATTCCAGGGTAGGAGCGTGAGGATTAGAATTATTAGGCAAAAGGAACAGAGATATAGGAGAAATAAGAGACAGAAATAGAACAGCATCGGGAGGGACATTCAGTAAATACTGAATTTGCTTCATTTATTCTTCCACAGGCTTTCACTCCAAAAGGGGAGTGGGAAACAGACTTTGTTAGCATGACACAAGGAATAGACTTGAGTTCTCTGACCTTTGGGCCCGGTGGAGCAGATCTACTTCAACACTCAAAATACTAATTAACCACACCCTAGGCCAGAAGCTCCTGTGTAGCCACACGTGTTGTTAACAACTTGGAGAGAGCAAAAATAAGCTCAAACTCTCTGACTTTCAGGCAAGGTGGAATAGGCTCACATTTTTGGGTCTCCATAAGTGGTTAGGAGCAATGGCCGCTACTCTTCCTGAGAATCCAAGTTCAAATTTCAGCACCAACTTGACAGCTCACAACACTCTGTAATTCCAGTTTCACGGGGATCTGATACCCTCTTCTGGCCTCTGGGAGCACTGGGCACATGATGTGGTGTACAGACATGCACACTGGCAAAACACACATTTACATAATTTTTAATTAAAAAAAGAACTTTCATGTCCACTGCTCTTGATGTGGGGACATGTGACCAATCTTATCTAGGAGACAATGGTGCATGGAATCACCTCCAGCTGAAAGGGAACTTAGTGTCCTCCTAAAAATGCCTTCATCTTATCTGTCCACGAGCTCAGGTTGCACCTTCCAGTTCTCTATACGTGGGGCACAGATCAGTCAGAGATGTAGGAGTCTTTATCTTCTTCTTCAAGCCTCCAGGGCCTCCAAAGAGAAACCATTGCCTAGGTATGGTGCAAAGAGCCTTTGGGCCATGGCTGCCTTAACCCTACCTCACAGGGAAGTCTAGGGACACTGCTGAGTGAATATGGGATCAGTCAGGCATAAGAGATGGTGCAGGCTTGTAAAGCCAGCACTCAGGAGGTGGGAACAGCATGATCAGAAGTGTAAGGTTATTATTGGCTACATAGTGAGTTCAAGGCCAGCCTGGGATACATGAAACATTTTTTTTTTTTTGAGATGGGGTCTTTCTACATAGCTCTGGCTATTCTGGAACTCACTAGGTACACCAAGCTAGCCTTGAACTCATAAGATCCACCTGCCTCTGCCTTCCAAGTGCTGGGATTAAAGATATTCACCACCACATCCTACTAGAGACAATTTTTTGTTGTTGTTCTAATTAAGATATGGCCAGGTGATGGTGACCCATGACTTTAATCCCAGTACTTGAGAGGCAGAGGCAGGAGGATTTCTGAGTTTGAGCCCAGTCTGATCTACAGAGCAAGTTTCCAGGACAGCCAGGGTTACACAGAGAAACCCTGTCTCAAAAAATATATATAGGGGCTGGAGAATTGGCTCAGCAGTTAGGAGCACTGACTATTCTTCCAGAGGACCTAGGTTCAATTCCCATCACCTACAAGGTGACTCACAATCATCTGTCAGAGTTCACCAGTTGACAAAGGACTCTCTCTGTGAACTTGTGGGTGACCGAAGCAGCAGGAAGGATTGGTGAACAGAATGCGGAAAATATCCTATTTTACAGATCATTTTGTGTATGTGTATGTGCACACGCTTGTGTCTGTTTTCAACACAGACAGGGTCTCACTGTGTAGCCCTAACTGGTCTGGTCTGGAACTAGCTATGTAAACTAGACTGGCCTCAAATGGAGATCTTCTGCCTCTGCCTCCCAAGTTCTGAATTTTAGGCAAGTGTTCTGCCAACTGCGCCACGTTTGCAGCCCCCAGTCACTTTTTGTTTATTGATGTGGGAGTGATTTCTTATTAATAAAGAAACTGCCTAGGCCCCTTGATAGGCCCACCCTTAGGTGGGTGGAGAAAGCAGAAGAGAATTCTGGGAGAAAGAAGCTTAGTGAAGGAGTCGCCATGATTCTCCCACTCCAGACAGACGCAGGTTAAGATCCTCCCTGGTAAGCCAGCTCGTGGGCTACACAGAATATTAGAAATGGGTTAGAACAATATATAAGAGCTAGCCAATAAGAAGCTGGAACTAGCCGGGCCAGGCAGTGTTTGAAAGAATACAGTTTCCGTGTAATTGTTTCGGGGCATAACCTAGCCATGCGGGCGGCCGGGTGCCGGAAGAATACAGTTTCCGTGTAATTGTTTCGGGGCATAACCTAGCCATGCGGGCGGCCGGGTGCCGGGGACGCAGCCCCTCCGCTTCTATTTCAACAGTTTATTTGTGTGTGTGTGTGTGTGTTGTAGGGGATGGGATCCAAACTCCAGGTCTGACACACCAGGGAAGTGATCCACCGCCAGGCCACACCCTCAGCCCTCCCACTCCATCCACACCCGGAGCCCATCGTGAACCTCTGCACACTGAGGGCGTTCTGCATACACCTGCTGCCAGACCAGCACTTTCCAGGACCCTTTCCACACCCCGGGTGACATGGATGAATGTGGTTTGGGGCCAGGCTGGCAGACTAAGCACAGAGCAGTGGAACCTGCTGGGAAGCACAGCACAGGAGCGTGTTTCTTTGTCAGGTGCTGGCCTGTTCCCCACTATGCTTTTAAGGAAAAGCAGCCGGTATACAGAAGTAAGACCATTCAAAGTGTTTATTCCTCAGCCCCCTTCACACACACCACCTACAAGACCCCGAGTCCCAGGCTCTGGACTAGAAAATGAAGGCACTGTGTCAGAGTAAAGGCCTAGGTGGCTTTCGGGGATTTGCCTATGTACTGGTGTGGCAATGGGAAGGCACTCCTGTTATTGGCCACTGGGACTCTGGACTTCCAAGCAGAGGCCTCTACCTGCTGGGTACAGGGGTTGTCAGATGCCAAACAGGGATAGGGGGTGGAATGGGGTTGGATTGCCCTTTCTGCCCTATGGACTACAATCCCCAGAAGGCACAATGACAATGCCAAGCCTAGCTCCGGGAAACAGAAGAGACGGGCTCAAGAAAGCACCCCAATGTCGATCAGAAAGCCACCGAGCTGCACAGCACTTTGCTCCCGGGCAGTCAGTGGGTACAGATGAGGGGTGGCTTGGGGTGTGCCCTGGCAGGTGACTGAGATGTCACAGTGGCCACATCCATCCACTTCTCACAGCCATAAAGTGGTCTACCTTGTCCCAGAAGAGGGACAGTCTCAGAGCTTGCTCCGCGGGGCTTCAGGCAGGGGCCGCTGCAGCCGCCACACCACCCTGACTGGTTCAGTGGCGTGGTCCAGCTCTTGGAGAGCACCCAGGTCGCCAGTTTGGCTGTACTGCTTCAGGGCTGGCTGGAGCACTGTTACGGGAATGCTGAAGTTCAGGTGTGGGTAGGTGGCGCCCGTGTTGTTGTCCCGAGTGTTGCTGGCAACGATGCCTGTGGGGGTGAGAGCAATGGGGACATGAAGCAGCAGATGGGGTGTCCGTGGCACAGGGAGGATCTTCTCCCTGAAGAAATCTTGGGGACCCTCTGGGCGTTTGTACCCCCCCCCCCCGTGACAGGTGCTGAGCTTCCTGCCATGGCTTCTGCTCCTCACTCATACCTCACCACCACTGGTCACGCTCTCTCTCTTCCACACCATCCATATAAAACAGCCTAACTCATGCCTTTGGTCATCTTTCTCTTCCCGCCCCAAAGGGCAGGATTCAGTGTGTGTTCCTACAGCCTGTGCAGAGGCCCTGAAAACAATGACCAAATGAACCAAAGACAACAAGTGAGCCAGACTCACACTGCTCTGGCCTGCTCTGCTGGCTAGCTTTATGTCAACTTGACACAGACTAGGTCATTTTGGAAAAGCGAACCTCAGTTGAGAAAATGCCTCTAACACATTGGCCTACGGTGGCTTTTCTTGATTGATGTGGGAAGGCCAGCTCACTGTGGTGGGGCACCCCTGTCCCGTGATACCAGGGGCTCTAAGAGAACAAGCTGAGCAAGCCCTGGAGAGGGAGCCTGGAAGCAGCACTTCTCCATGGTCTCTGCGTCAGCTCCAGCCTCCAGGATCCTGCCCCGTTGGAGCTCTTGTCCTGACTGCCCTCTGTGATGGAAGCAATGTGATCTGTACTGAGTGTAAGCAAGGCACGTTGTTTTTTTTTTTTTTTAAAGATTTATTTATTATGTATACAGTATTCTCAGTATTCTGTCTGCATGTATGCCTGCAGGCCAGAAGAGGGCACTAGACCCCATTACAGATGGTTGTGAGCCACCATGTGGTTGCTGGGAATTGAACTCAGGACCTTTAGGAAGAACAGACAGTGCTCTTAACCACTGAGCCATCTCTCCAGCCCCCGGCACATTGTTTTTGATCGTGGTGTTTACCACAGCCCCACAAACTCCGAGCAAGAAGCCTCAGGAGCTTTTTGGTTTTTTTAAAGTGCATTTTAAGGGTTAAAGAGACTGCTCAGTGGGTAAAAGCATTTGTTCCTCTTGCAGAGGACCCAGGTTTGAGTTCCAGCACCCACAATGGCAGTTCACAACCAATGTAGCTCCAGTACCAAGGGGCCTGAAAGCCTCTTCCGACCTTCCTGAGCACCAGACATGTTCATGGTGCACAGATACACATGCAGGAAAAAATATTCATACACATATAAAATAGACAAATCTAAAAAAAAAAACATTTAAAAGAAATCACTTTATCATTACAGAAGGCTCAACTCAATACTGGTGCTCCTGTGTATTACTATCTAAATACAGATGCACTGTGTACCTTCACGCCGCTGCCCTCCTCTACATTAATATCGTCTGTCATCAAAAGAAAAAAGTGACAACTAAGCTGGCCTTGAACTCACGAAGGTCCTTCTACCTCTGCCTTCTGAATGCTGAGATTAAGACTATGCACCACCACATCTAGGCTTCACTGGACACTGGTTTCCAGTCCTCATGCCTCTGGTGCTGGGAGTATACCACCGTGACCATTATCAGCCAGGCACTATAACGCAAAAATCAGGAAGCTGAGCTGGCTCAGCGGGTCAAGGTGCCAACCCTGCAAGCTTGGTGACCTGAGTCTGACACCTGGAGCCGTTGATGGAAGGAGAAATTCTACTCCGGAGAACTACCTGGACCTCCACGCTTGTGCCACAGCACACCTGCATCTGGTACACATACACATACACACACACACACACACCAGTAATAAATAACTTTAAAATCACTGTAAAAGGGATGGAGAGATGTTAAGAGCACTTGTTCTTGCAGAGGACCTGGGTTTGATGCCCAGCACCCACATGGGGACACTAACTCTAGTTCAAGGATCTTATACTCTCTTCTGACCTCCTCCAGCATGCACATGGTGCACACACATACATGCAAGCAAGGCATTCACACACATAAAATAATCCTCACTTTTTACTTTCTTCTTTCTTTCTTTCGACAGGATTTCTCTGTGTAGCCCTGGTTGTCATAGAACTCACTCTGTAGACCAGGCTGGCCTCAAACTCAGAGATCCATCTACTCTGCCTCCCAAGTGCTGAGATTAAAGGCATGTACCACCACAACCCAGCTTAAATTAAAAAAAAAAAAAGAAAAAAATTCAGCTAAAAAATAATAAATAAATAAGGTTAGCTGTGATGGCTCATGGCTGCAACTCCAGCATTCAAAGGGCTAGATCAGAAGGACGGCTCTGAGTTCGAGATCTACCTAGGCTACACAGCGAGTGAGGGCCAGCTTGAGCTAAGAGTGAGACTGGTCTTGAAGAAGAACTTGCGCACAAGTGGTGAGACACCTGCGAGAGTCGTGGCTCACGAGGGGGTAGATTTAAATTCTAATCGCACGCTAGAACTTCAAATGAGAGCGTGCACACAGACCGCCAAGAGTAAGGTCGCTGGAGGAGACGGGAGCTAGAACAAGCTAAAAGCAGCAGTGACTGGCACGTGCAGGTCAAAGGGCGCTACACACACAGCCAGGGAGGCGCCACGCGGGGGCTGTTTGCTGTGCTACCAAAACAGACTCCAGTTTGGTGCTTTTGTGTCGTCCTCGTTTTTTAAACTGTGGCTGCCTTTTAACCCACGGCTGTCTGAATTGGCCAACTGAGACTCTGCTGCAATTGGCAGGGGTTAGACCATGAGAGCCGCAGCCTATGGGAATTCTGCTCTTTCAGGCACCGACTCTTGCAAAGCTAGGAAGGGAACTTAACAAAAATCTCTGTCCCTCTAAAGAACTCAGGACTCAAAGGCTGAGGTGGAACCCTGCTCCTTGGAGAAGCTGAACAGCAAGGAGCACACCTCAAGTCCCTCCGCAAGCCCTGTGCTTCTCTTTGGCCTTCCTTAAAAACCCTTTTCCACCCAGCTCTTCCCTACCACTTCCAGTAAGCTAATTGCTGGTGCAACCTCCTGACCACAGGTGAATCTTATCTAATCAAACACATCTTTGCATCCTGAAACAAATGTTCCAGAGTATAAACAAAGTAACACGCTTTAGAATAACAGTCTACAACAGTTTTGCCCCTTCATTGGTGTGTTTGGTGCTACACATCAAATGCTCAACCAACTCTGACTTAAAAAAAATCCCAACTTCATCACCAAAGCTTAAAAACTGGTGGAAAAAAAAAAAAAACTGGTGTACACCTGCAATCCCAGTATTTAGGAGGTAGAAGAAAGAGAATTAGGAGTTCAAGGCCATCCTTGGCTGTACATTACTTTTGAGGCCATCTCAGGCAACAAGAGACCCTGTCTCAAAGCAAAACAAGGTCTGGACAACCACACACACGGTAAAAGGGTTCCTCTCTCCTTGAGACATCCTGGGTCATCAATTGGCTTTGAAGTCAATCTGTTAAGTAGTGCCTGTCCATTTACCCCTGCCTGGCCCTCTATCCTGTGGTCGTCATGATCTCATTCACTATTTCACAAGCCCAGCTCTGCAGACTTTTGAGTTTCTGACACCCATCCCCCCATGACTAACCCAGCTCCTAAATTTCATAGACTAAATGGAATTTAGTGACTTACCTAAGGTCACAGCAGTGGCCAGGACCAGGAGAGGACCACAGCTCTGCCTCCCTAGCTAGCTCTGCCCTGCTCCCAGCTCAGCAGCAGATTAGCTGAAAACATGGGCTAACTCTGGAAACAAGGCCCACCGTCATCCCAGAAGGGGCTCCCAAGATGGATGCAGGGTATCACTGGCAGGATCAAGGCTCTGGCAACAAGGATATTGGGAGTGAAAGGAACTAGTTACCCAAGAGGTCCCCTGAGCGCGTGGAGAAGAGGGGTCCTCCACTGGAGCCACCATGCACGGCACATGTGGTCTGTAGCATCACTGGGGTGTCATCCACATGCACCACGGCCGACAGGATGCCCGAGGTCACCGAGGGCCCACAGGCCTGGCCAAAGACACCAAAGCCCACCACACTGACAGGCTCACCTGACAGACAGGGAAGGAGAGAAGCTGGGGACCTCCATTCTATGACACTTCCCCACCCTTTCCAAAGGTCTAGTCCTCTCCCCTTTGAGCGCCTGTTCACCCCCTCCCACATTCCTGGGCACCTTCCTCATGAACCCTGCAGGGAGATGAGGAATTCTTTGTGTTCCCAGTTGCATGGGTCCACCCACTACTCTGGGGCATCAGGCAGACCTCCAGTCCTAACTCCCTCACCAAACGGGGTAGTCACTTTGGAGGCTGTTGTCACCTAGCTCATATGTGTACTTAACATTTATTTCTCTCTGGGACCAAATCTCTTAGTGAAGACATGGTAACAGCAGCCATAAGGTAACTCCATCTTCTTCCCCCACAGGCTTGTGCCTCACAGGCATGTCACGCCCAGTCCTCACCACGCCAGGAGCGGCGGCCCCATTTGACTAAGGTGCAAACTGAGACAGGGTGCAGTTGAGGATCTAAGGACACCAGCGACAGAGCTGCTAGCCCAGAGGACCTACCTCTTCTGTCATCATGTGAAATGGAATAATTGGGACTGGAGATGCAAGTCAGCTGGTGGAACGCTTGCCTAGCATGCGCAAACCCTGGGTTGGCTCCCAGGACCCCATAAACAAGGTGTGACATCATACACTTGTAATAGAACTTAGAAGGAAAAGGCAGGAGGATCAGAAGTTCATGGTTATCCTTGACCATATCATATGTGTATGGACAGTTGGGTTACCTAAGACCCTGTCTCAAAATATATAAAATAAAGGAAGGACGACAAACATCTATACTTATGTAGTAGGGTCAGACTTCCACCTAAATCATGCCACTGGGGCTCCCAAGGCCCAGAACCCCATCCCACACTACTGCAGACCCTCAATAGGGTATCCATTCAGTTCAGCACTTGGGGTGTCTTGATACACTGGAAGTCTACAGTAAGATCCGCAAAACTCCACTGAAGCTCCCAACTCCTTTGCTTAGCAGGAACGGGAAAAGGAGCTAGCTGGCTGCCGGGTCTGGCATGGTTAGTGTCAACGCTGACCCCCTGGAGTCTGGCCGGGTCCCCCACCACATTGGACTCTGCCTTTACCTTCATGGAAGTGCTCGGTGGGAACAGGCAAGGGGACACCGTCCAGGTCCTCTTCCAGGCTCACCACTGCTATGTCGTATGGAGAGGTCTCCTGAGTGGCAAACACCACTCGTCCCCAGATTGCCACATTCCTGGGGACACAGGAAACAAGTGACAAGCTAGCCTTCTGATGCCTTAGCACTGGGGAGAGAGCAATATGAGAGACAATAAAAGTCAAGGGATGGGCTAGTTTCAGTGGCACACACCTTTAACCCTAGCACTTGGGAGGCAGAGGCAGGTGGATCTCTGTGAGTTCCAGGCTAGCCAGAGCTACATAAAGGGATTCTTATTTCTTTTTTTTTAAAAATTGAATTGAAATCAGAGCATAATGAACATTGATGCCAACCCTGAAACCCTAAGCAGATGTGCTTTACAAACTGTAGTGCGCTTCTATACACTGCTTATGCCTTGCCATAACAAGCACCGGATACCTAGGGAGTGCTGTGACCAGGCCTTGTTGACGCTTGTGGCTATTGTCTTCTTAAACCTACAAACAAGGCACTGGCATTATTCCCTTTAAATGGTACAACTGAGGCTCAGAGAGGATGAGCAACCTTCCAAAAGGTCACAGAGCAAATAAGAAGCCAGGGCAAACCTACCAGGATTCTGTACTCATAGATGGGCAGGAATGGGGGCGGGACTGTCTTTTGTTTGTTTGTTTGTTGAGACAAGGTCTCTCTGCGTAGCCCTAGCTGTCCCGGAACTCAGCAACTCGGCGTGTAGACCAGACACCAGGGTACCTTAGTTCAACCTACCCTGCTGCTTTCAGAAAAGCCTAGCAAGTTCCTTAAGATCAGCAGTCAAGGGGGACACAGTACTAGCCATCCTCCGTTTTCGCTATGAAATCATGGCTGTTCGGTTTGCCGCCTGTGGGGACTCGGGCAAAGCACGCAGGGCTAACCTCAGAAGTTCAGAAAGGCTTGGGCTGTTAGGCGAGGGCCAGGCTTAAAGCCAAGGTGCTACTCAGTCCTCAGTTCTGCACCTGGGGCTACAGAGGAACTAGGATCATAGAAAAGCATGCCAGGAGGCCAAGGGCACTGGCTCATTGCCAGAGCGAGAAATGGGGGTAAAGGTGCTTCTCTCTACAGAGGGAGTAAGGCGACAGTGAGAAGTCCCCGCATAGCTGCGCTCTGGGGTCACTCAGACTGTTCAGAACACAGCCATCTGCACTGGCCCGTTTTCATTAGGATAACCCTCATCTTCAGGTGACAGGGCAGCCCTGGTGACTCTAAGGGAGACCTCACCGCATAGGGCCATCTCATCACCTCGGGACCTTCATTTACCACTTACAATGTAGTCTTATGGGGTTTAAGTCCTTATGGTATGTGTTCCCTGGTCAAAGGGCTTTAATGGGGCCTGGACTGCAAAGCTAAGAGACAGAGGAGCTGCTCTGTTTCAGGCTAGTTGAGGGGCTCAAAGACACCCAGCTTGTGCCTAGTAGATTGCTAAAGTTCCACGGGGGCCCACTAGGAGACCCGGATCTGGAGATCCTCACAGTGTCAAAATGAACCGAGGTCTCTAACAGTCTCTACAGGACTAAGATTGTCTCACATGGCCTCCACACTGGTACCTGGTGAGGGGAGGCAGCCCTGGGTCTTACTTGGGGATGGCCGAGCGCACCAGGACCCTGGTTGCTTCCCGGGGAGCCACGTGCCGGCAAGTCACCACCAGGCGAGGCGCCACGGCCACTCCGGAACCCCACACAGTACCACACTCCACCAGCACGGCCGCAGCTGCCCACGGGGGTCCGAAGTCTCTCAGGGGCGGGCCCCACGGGGAGCCCACCTCGGGTGGCAGCAGCGGCGCCAGGGAGGCGGAGCCTGGATGCAGGCGAGCCAGCACGGAGCGAGCGACCTGAAGCAGCGGGGCGGCGGCGCAAAGCAACGTGAGGCCCACCCACTCGCGGGCCTTCCAGCAGAGCGGCGCGGCCACTAGCGCCACCAGCGCGCCCGCGGGCCGAGCCGCGAACACTCCGCCGCCTTCCGTGCCCGGCAGGCAGCGCGCATCGGTGAGCAGTAGCGGTCCCGCAGCGTTGCTGAGCACGCCGCGGCTCAGCGTGTTCAGAAAGATGTCCGGGCAGAAGGCGCCGAACGGAGAGCCGCAAGCCAGCAGCGGGGCGCCCTTGGCCACAGTCCCCAGCGGCGCCACGGCCACGGCCGGCCCCCGCCTCTCCTCCTCCGCCGCACCCGATCGCACCCGCAGCAGCGCGAACCAGCCGAGCGCGCGCAGCTGGTCCTCCTCCTCCTCCTCCGACACCGCATCGTCAGGCGCCGAGCTCACGAAGTGCCATTGCTCGGCTGCTTCGGCCCCGAAGAGTCGTGCGAAGTGGGAGCGGAAAGCAGGGCAGCTGATCAGCAGTAGTAGCTGTGCGGGCCGCGGGGGCTGGAGAGGCTGTGCCCGGGCCCGGCCGGTGGCGCCGGGTTCGAGGCCCACGCTTGCACACTGAGGTGTACACAGCCCCGGGAGCTCCTGCTTTGCGCGACCGGCGGGGCTGGCAGCCGTGGATCTCCACTGCACGTGCAGGCGCAGGTCATCGCTGCAACTGTCACCGGGTAGGAAAGTGGCACCCGTCTGGGTCAGGGCCGCGCTGCCCGTCCTCAGGAAGGGGGTGAAGATGCCCCCGTGACACAGCACAAGGCCTGGATTGCGGCTCAGGATCACCCCGCTGCAACTCCACGAGCCTATGTCGGACTGCCCGGCCCGCGAGGCGCTCACCACGCAGCCCGCCTGCTCCGCCACCTTCATAGAGGGTCCCCACTGCCGCCCCATGGCTTCCCCAAGACGTCGCACAACGGCTGTCACCTCAGAGCGACCGGCGCAAGCAACTGACTCAGGTCTCCTGGTCGACCCGATTGGCTAAGCCCCAAACGACCGCTCCTATTGGCTGGGCATGACGCCGAGTACCGATTGGCTACTGATGCTTATCCTTTCCCCGCCCTCTGGTTTATCCAACCTACCTGGGGCCCTTGGGAAAGGGGTTCTTAGGAGGAACGTCCTGGGTGAAGACGTGCAGCATCACAGGGAGACCGACGAGGGCGTCACTCCCTGGTCGAATTTCATACTTGAACGGCATATTAGTGATCCCCACAGCCTCTGCACAGCTGTAAGCAACCTCTGTCCCTGAAGGTGGAACAATAGAGACCAAGGGAACCCTTGGTGGATTGACTACTTTGAATTTTAAAGTAAACCCTATAACAATCCACCAGGGGGCACACGACTCACAAAATTGCTCCTAGGACAGCTATCAAAATTCCCACACCACCAATCTAGTTTTGTTTTTGAGACAGGGTCCAACTATTTAGCCCATACTGGCATCGAACCTTGACGATCCTTCTGCCTCAGCCTTTTATAGTCCTGGGATTAAAGCTGTACGCTACCACAAATAGGTTAAATTATCTAACCATACATTATACTAACTAGCGAGCACATTTCACGTGACGTTTCTAACCACCACTCAGGATTTAACATTGGACCAGGGGGATACTTTGTCTTGTAAAGTTCAGAATGAAAATGGTTCAGGTTTTGTGGGCTATGCAGTATTCACCTCCAAATACTCAGCACATAACCCTAACAGCCTCATAAATTATAATTTCATACATGGCACCACAAAATTGTGCTCCTCCACTATTCACAAGTGTGAAAAATCAAGACTGGAGAGAGGGCTCAGCAGTTAAGAGCCATCCATTACTGTGCTTACTGTGGACCCTAGTTCGGTTCCCAGTACCCACATGGCAGCTTACAATTGCTTCTCATTACAGCTCTGGGGTATCCGATGTGCAATTCTGGTGCCTGCTCTGTCTCCTGCTGCGCTCATGCAGGCTAACACATACATGTAAATAAAATAAAAAAGGTCACCACTTTCCAGATCATGTCCGAGGACAGGTGAGAACAGGAATGTCTGGAGAGACTTCACAAGCTCTTAGCGTAGTACCACAGCTCGAGAAGGATGCTTGGGTCAGTCAAGTATGTGTTCGTGTCTAGTAAGACTTCTAGCATTTAACTGTGAGCATTAATGAAAGTACAGCCACTTGTTGCTTTGTTGTGTAAACTTCTCTGAATAAAGTTGACAGTGCTGCTGCTGCTGCCCCGGTGAGCATACCTGATGCTTCCAATGCTGCTGGGGACACAACCTAGCTAATATAGCTGAGCAGGGCAGAACTGCAATTAAAACAGTCACCCCAGGGTAAGCAGTCTTGGTTTGCTGACACGGGTGACCACAGATCTACTTTCCCCAACTTCCTGGCAGTTAAGACCTTCTCTCTAGAACCCAACAATTTCCCCTGGATGCCCCCCCCAACCCTCCGACACCCTGTTCCTTATGAAGCTTTTCTGTTTAAGGCAGACCATAGTACAGCAATCAGTCAGCCAGCAGCTGTGGCTGACCTCAGTACTAGGCTCTCTGCCCCAGCAAACATACCCTTCGCCCGCAGAACCATAGTCTCTTTCCACTGCAATGGTGACCACAGGACACATCCAGCTCCATCCTTTGCCTTAAAGAACCTGCTGTGGCCAGGTGGTGGTGGCACACACCTTTTAATCCCAGCACTCTGGAGGCAGAGACAGGTGGAGCTGAGTTTGAGGTCAGCCTGGTCTACAGAATGAGTTCTAGGACAGCCAGGACTATTATACAGAGATACTCTGTCTTGAAAAACAAAGCAAAACAAACAAAAAATCCTGTTGTGGTTTTATTATTAATTTTTTTGTATTTTGTTTTTTGTCCTATGGTGCTTTCTTTTTTCTTTTTTGAGATAGGGTTTCTCTGTAGCTTTGGAGCCTGTCTTGGAACTTGCTCTGTATACCAGGCCATCTCTGCCTCCTGAGTGCTGGGATTAAAGGTGTCTGCCACCACTGCCTGGCTCCTCTGGTGCTTTCTATAAGCAACTGTAAAGGCAGAATCACAAGTGATGATTCACTCCAGTGCTGTGGAATAAGAGCTGTCAGTATGTTCAAGCAGAGATGGCCAACCCCAGGTCCAAAGCATATGCAAGGTGGTCAAACAGTACTACATTTGCTACTATCAGTGCCCAACCTTTTTCTTTCTCCCTATATGTAAGAAAGAACTTTTGTTTTTCCTCCCAACACAGGGAAAACTGCATGTTCACTCTGAACAAATCAATGAAAAAAAGAGGCAAGTTCATTTTAGCTTTTTATTAAAATGCTTAGGATACAGACTGACCTTCCTTTGTAAATGACAGTTTTACTTTTGCTGAAATAGGACACATGTACACTCTGATATACAGAATGGAGTCTCACTCAGTTCATCGGAGGCCCTGGACAAGGGGCCCTGACCCTCGGGTGGAGTTGTGCTCACTGCAGCAGCTTCTTCTGGCCACTTAAGATGGTGTCTGTGGGGCAGGAAACAGACTGGTGCCACTTTTCAGTAATCTCTTTCTCCGGTGGCCAGAATAAACCACTTTCACAAAGAGCCACCCTGGGCAGAGTCCAGTCTTCTAGCTTGCTATAGGGCGATTAGGGACAAATGAGGAAGACAAATAAGAAAACCAACACTGAGGCAATCACTGCCATGTGCCTGGACAGAGACCCTATGGGCAGCCAGCCTTTAGCCGAAGGTAGTGAAAAGCACACCCGGTACCTACCCTAGTTCACTCGCCGTCAGCTAGATTCCTTCATTAAGGTTTAACAACCCTTTCCACACCGACAGTTCTCATTCCACCTATTCGTGGGTGAACAATGCATGTACTTTACAGACAAGATACCTCACCAAGCCTCTACACTGGGAACCTGGCAGCATGAGAGAACACTGTCCCACATGCTCAGTGCTCAAAACTAACACGCGAGAACTCACTCTCCAGGAGTGTGCTACCCATCTTCCCTATCCTCTTGAGGACACAAGCCTGTCACAATGCAGCAGAATCATAATTTTCACCTAAGAACCTACCTCTCACCTTGCAGTAAGGGAAGCAAGAAGTAAGACACCCTCCCTTCTGCAGACCATCTACTCGCCTTTCATCTACTACAAGGGGAGAATATAAAGTTAACATCATGAAAACCCAAGACAACAAAATGCTGTAAAAATCACGTTCATAATCCTCAGAGGGCTGCTGCTTTCCCGCCAGTGCTCACTGCTGCCAGGGGGTGCCCCAGAGCCAAACAGGAAGACCATTTCATGTTTTCTCTGCTTCCTACTGGAGTGGAAAACAGGAGCCCACTGAATATATATCCTTGGTGCACTTGTTGCTACCAGAGCAGACGGAGAGGTCCTCTACCAACAGAATTCAGAGCCTTAAGCTGTTGACCTGTATCCCCTCCTGTTCAGAACATGTCCATCCCCTAGAATTACTCAAACGCTTCTGAGACACTCTTAGCATGGGGTCTACATGAGAGACGTTAACTCTTCCATGAGGCAAAAGTCACTTTTTATATCTACAGTGAAAAAGGCAAGGTGTTACACAGAGATGAAATTCCACAACAGTATAAAAGCAAAGCCTGCTGACCGCAAACTGCAAGTAAAGCTGACAATGTAACAATGACACTTTCCCACTCGACCACAGTGGAGACCGCCCGCCCCCAGTAAGGCCAAGGCACCGTCCTCTCAGGTGCCACCTCCAACAAGGCAGTTACACAGGGGAGCTCTGGCCTCCAGCGCGCTATCTGTTCATAATTTTATGAAGTACCTAAATTTCATTTACTAGGTTAAAAAAAAAAAAGAATAGAAAATCTGGACCAAGTAAATTGTGAACTCAAAAAGTTAGAGAAGGGATACCAATTACATTAACAACACTTTCTTTAAAAAATAGAATCACTTTCTTTTGAAATCAACCAGTGGTGAGACGTGTTTTTCTTTCCAGGTGTCCCATGATGGCACCCAGCTTTCCCTGGCAAATCCTGCCAGCCCAAGTCCCTGCACACTGACCTGCATCAGCAGGCAGGCAGTGTTACTTCCCACGAGTGGAGAAGAGCACATGTCACCACTGGGCGATGAGCGTAGACAGAGATGCATGGCTTCTCAACGCCAGACATGGTTGGAGAGCTTTCCTTGTTGTATTAGGAAAGTCCATGAGGAAGCTGTGAATAGGATCAGTCCAGAAGAAAAACTCTTTATTTTCACTGTCCAAACATCAGTCAATATACTGGGAGAGCCAGCGGAAGCCCTCGCCGTAGCCTTGCCTCTTGAGCACACTGCACATGAATACTTCCATGGGGCGGGCGTTCAGCTCTTTCAGAGACACATTTCCCTAAGGGAGGAAAAGCCCAGAAAGCCCTGTTAGGACCTCCACATGCAAAAGCACAAATAAACATAGACAGTAACTACAAAATATATCTGGCCATACAGATTACTTCTGCAGCCTCCAGTTTCAGAATAAAAATTAACAGCTTCTACATACTGCCTCATCCTGAAAACATGCTCTGAATACCCAACATTCATCTGGGCAGTTATGACAAGGAACTGTAAAGAGAACTTCCGGAACCCATGGACCCAGTATGTCCTCTGACAGACAACGAGCTTGAACATTTTAGCACATTCGTTAACATAAGCAATCAGGAATAGACACTGTCGGGCTGCATGGGAGACACTGCTGTGTATGTAGCACTCCTACAGAAAGGAGGAGGAAGCACTCACACCCACACTAATAAACACATGCAACATAGGCAGGTTTTCAGTGTAGCCCAGGGCTACCCTCAGTGTGCATCACCACACCTGGCCTGGAAGCATTTCTAGAAATAAACAGATAATGAGTCAAAACAAAGGATATGGAGCTAAGCCAGGCATGGTGGCGCACATCTTTACTCCCAGCCATCTGGAGGCAGTGGCAGGTGGATCTCTGTGAGTCAGAATCCAGTCTACAGTCCCAGGTTATCCAAGGCTACACAGAAAGACTCTGTC